CCCCCCCCTCCCCCAACGGCTCCTCCCCCCGGTACCCGCTCCAGGCCCGGCTCACCTGCGCGGCCACCCCCGTCCCGGCGCTGGTGCGGCTGCTGCAGCTGGAACGGGACCGTGGCCCTGAGCGGCTGCAACCCAGCCCGGGGGGAGCCGGCGGGGGCTGGGGGAGAGCAGCCCCGCCGGAGCCCCCCGGCCCCTCCGCGCCCCGGCCCCCAAGGACCTCCGCCTCTGCCGCCCGCTGCGGCCCCCGCCATCGCCCGCCCGACAGCCTGCCTGCCTCGGCCCCACAGCGAGCCCCACACAGCCCCCCAACCCCCGCTGCTGCTGCTTATCAGCTCTGCGGGGCGGAGACCGGCCCCCTCAGCCCAGAACTCTCATTGGCCTACAGAGTCCCAGACCCCGCCCCCCAACCAATCCCCGGCTTGTTCTTTCCATTCCGGAGGATGACTGGCCGATATGCCTAGCGATCCAACCCAAGACCCCACCCTCATCCCGCCCCCTCCCGCTGTCCTCCGTCCGAGGGGGCGCTGATTGGTCCGTCCGGAAGAGGGCTGGTTCTCCGGTGCCGCCAATGAGAAGATGCAGAAAAGGGGAGCGTCACACCCAGTCCCAGGTAGTATGCAAATATACTATCACGTGACGTCAGGCTAAGCGGGGGTGGGGCCGGGTGGAAGATGGAATCAAGCACTAGTGAAATCATTATGGGGGGTAGAGAAGAGTATCAAACTTTGAGCAGTTCAGCCTGGCAAGCACCGAGAAAGCGATAACTTCAAAAAGCATCACTTTTGATTTAACCTAAAAATATTAGCTGTGAGTCCTCATAGGATCTCAGTGCTGCTCGAAAGCTCCAAAGTAAGATTCTACAAATTAATGCAAAGTTTGCATATATTTGCATGCGATTTGCATTATATTCATGCACTTAATGGCCACCGTGTCTCATGTGACACCCACATTTGTCTTTCTCCACGTTTCCAAGTCCCTAGCTGGTGTGGGTCCAACTCCCCCCGCCCCCAAAAAACACCCAGCGCTAGCCTGTAAATTATATTGAGACTGAAAAGGAGCAGGGAATTTCCCTTCAGAGCCGTCCATTCCAAGTCTAGCTTAGCGGAGTGGAAGGAACAAAGTGACTGAGAAACGTGCCCAAATTTGTACAGTGACTCCATTAACAAATCCTGGTCTTCCCAGTTCAGTGCTCTCTGACCTACAATGAGATGGTCCCCAAAGAGAATGCATGCAGTTGTAAAAATCACATGCTGTAATATATATGAGGACATTTGGGAAGGAAAACAGCATTTTAGTTACTATTAAAAACTATTACTCTTCAAAAGAAAAAAAAAGTATTACGCTTGGTATTTATTAACCATTTTGTTCTATATAAGGAAAAAGCAGAAGGCAATCAACCCTGGATCCTCTGCCATAAGGGACCATACAAATAATTGGATAATTCCCTCCAGATTTATATTTAGCTATGAATTCTATTTTTGATCTTGCTACAGATTTGTCTTTCTATTTCTGTTTTTGCCCACTTTAATGTTAAAATGAAGGTATTCCCTGAAGCCATCCTAGCTAATCAGAGAAAAGGAGGTAATCTGGGAGCATCCTGCAAGGCAAGGAGAGGTCATTCTGTGATTACCTATTGAAAGCACTTAATACCCGAAGTAGAAATTTAAGCACTGGCTGAATATTAAAATCAACTACATACGCACAACAAATGTGAGGCAATGGTTTTCTTTGTGAACAAAGAGTATGTGCTCTAGCAGATTCTAAGGGTTTACATCAAGATCTGACATTTGAGGGGTGCCTGGGTGGCTCAGTGGGTTAAGCCTCCACCTTCCGCTCTGGTCCTGGTCTTAGGGTCCTGGGATCAAGCCAGGTGAGATCTCTTCAATGAGGTTTCAGAAAGAAATAACATGCCCAAGGTTATTCAGGCAGTCAGGCACCAGACCTGAACTCCTATTCTTGTAAAACTTTGTCATGAACACAGATGGATTACTATTTGTATTTTACATAGAGTCTCCAAAGATGCAAATTTGCCTGAGACGTTAAAATGAACACTTGCCTAGTACTTTACAATTTTCATATACATCATCTCATTTAATTTTCACAATGGGTATGTAAAGTAAAAAAAAACAAAAAACAAAAACACAGACATTATTATCCCTGTTTTATAGAAGGCTAACTCACAGATGTTAGGTGACTTCCTCCAGATCATCCACTCAGTAAATGGCAGACCCAGGATTTATATCCGAGGTCTTTTGACTCCAAATTGAAGTACTTTCCCGACCAACACTCAACTTCTAGACCATTGGCCTATCTAAGAGCCAAAGGATGGCTAGTTGATCTCTTGAAATCTGTTCTTTCCTGAGATCCATTTTGGGACCCCTCAACATGTAAATTCTCAGTCATTCTTAGGAGATGATGGGTAATTTTTATTGGTTAAGCCATACAGTGTGTGTTAGAGGGCAAAGCCCTAAATGACGAATCTTGAAATGCTTTGGGCAGGTGGAGTCCTTTCTCTCTGCAAAAATCACCTCCATTAACCTCACAGAGTGGTTCTAAAGATAATATGGCATAGTAGTAGGCAGATGCATTCTTCTGTTGGAGAGAAGGCTAACGTGGATAGTCTCAAGGACACGGTGTTTAAATTTTGTTCTAAAGCCATAACACCAGGAATTGAGGACCAGGACAGTGGAAGAAGAACCAATGGAGATGGCACAGCTGAAGAATTGGATCTTCTGAGTCCAGAAAGTCATGGTCCTTCCAGATAAGTTGTTGGCAGGAGACACTCGAGTTGACCTAGCCGGAGCGAGAAGGCAAGCCTGCATAGGAGATCCCCGTCTCCTCCTTACACAAGTATCATGCCCAAGCAGCTGTCTCTTATTCCCTTCTCTATCACCGATAGCTTCTCCTGCCATGGGCTTGATGGAGGGGATAAATACCTCATCTGAAGATAAACCCTTGTCTTTTTCCTCCACTGAAGGAAAAGCATGGCTTTGAGGAGGCTGTGTGCTGCTAACGGAGATGCCTTGCCTTACAAAGCATCTTGTAGCTTGCAAAACAAACAAACAAACAAAACAACCCTTTGTTACTGTTCCCCCTGTCATCCTTATCAACATGATAGTTATTAATTCACTCAGCACAAATTTATTCAGATGGTCACTAGGTACTGGACACAGAGCTGGGCACTAAGGAATGACAATAATGTTCAGAGACATGGTCCCTATGCTGGAAGTCACAACCCAGCAGGCCTTGAAGCCTGTATGCAGAAATGGTACCCGGCTAGATGCTATCTGATTGAGACCTGACATGGTTCCTGCCTTCAGAGAGTTTGGGTCAGAGGCAGGCACTCGAAAACAGCAAAAGTGGAGGACTACATACACAAAGTATGGCCATACTTTGCAGGAGTCTCAGGGAGTACCACGACCAAAGACTGGAGGGAATTCTAGCAGATCAGAGGATCAACAAGGAGGTCTTATCCTGCTGTCTATTGAATTAAGAGAAGGCTGGGGTCCTCATAACCAAGAGAAGGTTTCTAGTTCTGATGGTGCTGTCTGGCCCAATTTCCAGGGCACCTTGACCCTCACCCTATTCCTCTGTGCCACAATTACAAACAAGCATGGGAATTCCAGACCACCATTTTTACCCTCCAAAACCTGACACTTCATAGCAATTGTTCAGAGAATAGAGAACTCTTGATATTCCTGGGTACCTGGCGGACTGTCTCTGCACTTTCAGGTAAATGTCCAAGTGCTTACGTCTTTGGGCCTCAGGTTCCCAAATAATAAAACAGAACATAAGATGACGCAGACACACTGTGTCTCTTTCCGACCTACCTCCTTTCCTCAGCCTCTGTCTGAAATGTCAGGTCCGGCTCCTCAGGGAATGAGATCCTGAGGAAATGGGGTCAGAACTGAAGGAGCAGAGCAGCCGGAGAGGGATGGGGAAGGAGGGTTGAGGGAATGAATGAGGTTATGGGAACAGAGTAGGGAGGGGTCCCAGCCCTCAACACTTCTCCCACTGTGGTGGCCTCTCTCTCCCTCTCTCCCTTCCCTCTTACTCCCAAGGTAACTCGATGGCCTGGATTTCGACCTTGGGGGCTGCCTCTGACACATATCATCCCCTGCTATGGCCCACCACTTCCTGTCTTCTGGCTTACTTATCTCAAGTGCTCATTTTCTGTCTTTCAGACTGGATGACATTCACTCCTTCACTCTTCCTCTCAGTGGGAATCAAACTTTCCTGCTAAATGGCAAGCTATTTAAAACGAAGATTCCTAATCCTTAACCATATAGGATATGGTGGAAGTTCTAAAACAGGTAAAGGGTAAATTCGGGATCAGAGACGTCAAAATTTTGGAATACTGGTCCTAGTAACACTCCATGAAAAATACAAAGTAGATTTTTTTTTTTTTTTTTTTTTTTTTTTAAGAATTGAGGGGGCGCCTGGGTGGCTCAGTCACTGAAGCATCTGCCTTCGGCTTGGGTCATGATCTTGGGGTCCTGGGATTGAGCTTTGCATTAGGCTCTCTGCTCCACGGAGAGTCTGATTCTCTCTCTCCCTCTGCCCGTCCACCTACTCATGCTCTCTCTCTCTCTCTTTCTCTCAAATAAATGAATAAAATCTAAAAAAAAAAAAAAAAAAAAGAAGAAGAAGAAGAAGAATTGAGAGAGATGTTAGAGACTCTTCCTGATCAGTCCTCTGATTTTACAGATGGAGAAATGGATGCCCAAACAAGAGAAGGGCTGGTCAGAGGGCACTCAGGATATCAGACACAGGGTCAGAGACCAGGGCTCCTGCATGCTGTTCACTGTTGTCTCAAAACAGAATTTAGGTGGAATACAATTCAGCAACGAAAAGGAACAACTATTGCTATGTGCAGTAGCGTACATAGACCTCAGACACATGATGCTAAATGAAAGAAACCAGACGCAAGAGACCACGTATTATAGGATTCCATTTATATGAAATGTCCAGAAAAGGCAAATTTATAGAGACATAAACAAGATCAGTACTTGCCTAGGGCTGGGATGAGAACAAGGATTACCTGAAAACAGGCCCAGTGAAACTTTTGGGGAGGACAAAAAGGACCCATAACTGGAATGTGGTGATGGTTGCACAAATCTAGAAACTTACTAAAGGAAATGACATGGTTATAAATATATAATAAGTCAATTCTGTGGTATGTAATTTATACCTCAATCAAGCTGTTTCCTAAAAAAGAGGAGTTAGATATGTGTATGAATGAGGGATCTCGGATGTGCGGCAAGCCCTGCTCATCTTTTAAGGGAATGTCTTGGGAAACAAACAGAGCTACTCTCATTATTTCCCTTTTAAAATATCACTGTGAGGGGTACCCGGGTGGCTCAGTCATTAAGCATCTGCCTTTGGCTCAGGCCAAGGTCATGGGATCAAGCCCCACATCAAGCCCCACATTGGGCTCCCTGCTCGGGGGGAAGCCTGCTTCTCCCTCTCCCACTCCCCCTACTGTGTTCCCTCTCTTGCTATGTCTCTGTCAAATAAATAAATAAAATCTTTAAAAAAAATAAAAAATAAATAAAAGGTCACTGTGAAAGACAGAAGATTTGGCTTTTTGGCCTACGGAACACTCAGGCTGGCATTTTTCATTTGTTACACATGTCCACCTCTCTAAACTAGAGAAGTTTCCTAAGGAGAACAGGTGTGTCTTGGTCATCACTCTCATTACTCAGCAAGCGCTGGGCCTGACATGCACGCAGGGTCTCACAAAAATGAACTTGGCTTCTGCCAGGTCATCTGATCACAGGTGCCTTGGAGAACCATTTGGTATCTAGAGCAGTGCCTTGCTAGGAACAGTTTGCGCCACAGCCCCCACTCCCACCGCCAGGCCTTCTCAGAGATCAGAGTCTTTGAAGAAGACAGGTTGGGGGGGGGCACCTGGATGGCTCAGTCAGTTGAGCGTCCGACCTTCAGTTTTGGCTCAGGTCGTGATCTCAGGGTTGTGAGATCGAGCCCCACATCAGGCTCCATGCTCAGCATGGAGTCTACTGAAGATTCTCCCTCTCCCTCTGCTCCTCCCTTTCTCTAAAATAAAGAAACCTTTAAAGATTTGTGTTTTTTTAAGTCATCTCTATACCCACTGTGAGGCTCAAACTCACAACTCGGAGATCAAAAGTTACACACTCCACCTACCGAGCTGGCCAGGCGCCCCCAGACCCCTTGACTTCTCTCTTCCCTTCTCATTTACCTTAAATTGGCCTCAAAAATACAATTATCTGGGAGCAAATAAACTACACCACCATAAACGTTCTCTATTCCACATCCAATCCCTCTCCCTTCGCCTCCCACCACGCACCAAATCAGGCATCAAGTATCACGAGATCCAACTAAAAAAGACTGTAAATGTAACAGAAGGAAGGAGTTGATTAGAAAGTTGGTTTGCAGTCTGATTTCCTTTAGATCCGGGGCACAGGCTCCAGAGCTTATTTTCAGAGCTCAAAATATTATCTCTAAAGGGTTTTTGTAATAGATAACTGCGAACTATCACCAGAGGCTTTTTCACTTTTATTCTCTGGTATATGAGGTTTTTCACTTTTATTCTCTGGTATATGAGGTTTGCCCTTGACCCTGCCTGCCTCCTGGCAATACTGTCTTCTTCACCATCTGCTTTAACCTCCAGGTAGACCTCACTTCCTCCAAACATTCCTCAGCGGGACTAGTCTGGGACTAATGATTCCCTCAGCACTTAGCTAATTGGCTTAGGTGTTCAACTTGCTGCCTATTATTTTGTCCTAGCTTATGGGTAGCTTTCTTACGTCTGCTAAGTCATTTCATATATTTTTATCCCTTCTCCCCAGTTCGGAAGAAGGGGAACCATTCGCTGTAGTATTTTTTGTAAATTTATTCATTCGAGGTGGTGGAGGGGGAGAGGGAGAGAACCTGAAGCGGACTCCGCACTGAGCAGAGAGCCCAATGCAGGGCTTGATCCACAACCAACTGGGAGATCATGACTTGAGCCAAAACCAAGAGTCAGACGTTGAACTGACTAAGCCAGCCAGGTGCCACCTGCTCTTATATTTCGTGTCAGCCCCTAATGTGAGCACTGCTCTGGGCAGTGGTGAGTCAGTATTGGTTATTTAAGACTGTTTCTCCAACTTATCACTCTTGAATGTTCCTGATCACTCTTGGGAGTTGAGGTTAAAAGTCCTGCTGACCGAAAGGAGGGAAGGAAGTCTCCAGGTTTTGTGAGGACTCATGTTTATCATCTGGGGTTCCTCTTTAAGTTAAGGAGTAAGAAGTTATAGAATTAGGTACAAGGCCCTAGAAGGGTTCTGTGCAAGGGAGGGGATCAGACTCTTAAAGTTTCATTAAGCTTCACGGTAAGCTTTGGTTCTGATTGGAAGAATGAAGTCCGGTTATATCCCATCCAACTCTTGAGCCCTGACTAAATGAGGTGCCTATTCCTGGTTTTCCTGTGGATATCCTGTACCCAACACATGCATTCCACAAGATGGCTCTGGCTCAACAAAATGGCTTTGGCAGCCAAGTCTGTCTATCTCATGAGAAAGTCCCAAAGGGCTGGGTTGTCGCTCTTCCCATTTAGTAATTTTATGACACTTAGAACCGTTCTCCTTTCAGAGCAGGTGGTTTCTCCTACTTGCATCATGGAGGGTATGAGCTTGTGCTCAATCCTAGAAGCCCCCAACGGCTCAAAGACTCGAGGAATTGTGTTCTTGTACAGTGGAAGGGCTTGGAATGTTCCAATACATTCCACCAGTGGCCTTTGTGACCCCTGCTTCCAATCAACTTGGGCAAAGGCC